CATGGTGCTTCAAGGGCGGGAGGAGATGCAGGCGCAGATGCAGAAAGACATCGAGTTCGGCTTCACGCTTGGGGGGAAGCTCCAGTTCGCCAAGGAGCTGGAGCGCTGGGAGCGTCAGGCAGGTGCGGAGAACCTTGGGGACGAAATGAGCCTTAAAAGGGTTTAGGGTTCATATTACCTTAATAGGAATTATCGTAGTCTAGGGTAAAGGACCCCAATTTTAGGGTTCATTTCGTCCCCAAGGAAGGCGGAGACGGATCGAGATGTGGAGCGGACCCTAAGCGGCTTCCCTATGCTGGAGCGCCCGGGCACACTCGATGAGAACAGCTCCGACACGCCTGTCGAGCGAGTTTGGAGCAGCGTGTCTCGGAAAATGCGGATCCTCTCAGATCAGCTGGACAGCTTTGCCGACCATCTTGACTCACTTTACCTTCAGGCTGTCTGCTGCAAAGGGCCTCCACCCGCCCAGTTGCCCTGCCCCAAGTTCCCCTGCCAGGCGGGCATGCACGAGTATGACATCGGCGAGACTGTGGCTTCAGACCCAGACAATGACTTCAAGTTCGAGCTCGGCCGCCAAGTAGCTCGGCTCGGCCATGAAGCCAAGTTCGCAAGACTGCAGATCCGAACGTTGAGGTTTTGGGGCTGGGTTTGCTGTGGAAAATTGAAGGCCGTGATCTCGTAAGCTCCCAAGAAGGCTTGAAAACCCGCTGACTCCCAACACAAAACAAAGCAAAACGAAGGGCAGGGGAATCACAAACGGCAAACAAAACAATACATAAAAAAGGTTGCAGTACTTTCGGGGAAGGATCCTCAAAGCCGCCACCAATTGAAAACCCAGGTGTTTTTGTGTTTGTGTCTTGTCTGGTCTTGTTTGGGGAGCCGTTCGCGTTCCGGCAAAGGATCATGGGCTGTGGCCCATGGATGACATCACAGTCGCCGGCAGCTTCAATCGCGTCCAGAATTTGGGTTCAGTCATCACGGTGTACCCAACCGAGCAGACGGGCGAAGCTGGCAAGAAGGCCGGGTCTAACTGCGGCGCTTTCTGCGTTGTACATGTCGTGTGCGTGCCGTCACAGTTGCGAGTGTGCGCGGTGTGCTCTACCACAGTGCAAGGTGAAGTGCATCGTCCTGGGACCTGGCAAAATTGCAGACGGCCCATCCTCAGGAAAAACCCGCAGATTCATCCAGCTCGTGGAAGCTTACGATCCCAAAACGGAGGCGGAGGCTTTAGATCGTTTTTTCCAGGACAGAGGTCTCTACTGGAACAACGAAGAGAGCGTGCAGGAGCGAAAGGACAGGCTGCTCCAGTACTACACTGCGGAGTACTACACAGAGGCCGAGTCAAGGAAGATCTTATACTCGTTGACAAACATGGGCCTGTACCTTAACGACGAAGACCTGCTGCGTGAGTATGCTCCTTTCATACGGGCGCTGCGGGACGTCTTCAGGAAGCCGCAGGAGGACGCCTTGGAGGGTTTCAGCTTCTAGGCCCTTGGAACAATTTATGTTTTCCCTTATTGCGCTTCAGAGGATCACATTCAGGAATATCCCTAAACCCTAAACCCTAACTTAAACCCTAAACCCTGAACCCTAAACCCAAGATTGTTTTCAGAAGGTTTTAGCGGCCATCCTAGGCTTTTTCGGCGGCCCGGGGGAAGAGGTGACGCGCGGATTCTTCCTGAGTCCGGAGCATGCCAAGCTGTACCTTGGGGACGAAATGAACCCTAAAAAGGTATGGGGGTTTAGGGTTTAGGGTTTAGGGTTTAGGGTTCATATACCTTAATAGGAATTATAGTAGTCAGGGTATATGCCCCCCAATTTTAGGGTTCATTCCGTCCCCAAGGTACGAGGCGGTGAACAGCAAGGTCTGTTGGCCCAACTTTTCTTCGACTTCCCACAAAGGTGGCAACGAGGACTTGGTGAAGGAAACAAGAATCACAAGACCCGAAACCCTAAACCCTAAAACTTCAACCCTAAGCCCTAAGCCCTAAACCCTAAACCCTAAACCCTAAATTTAAGAGCCTCCGGCTCAAGCCGCCGACCCCGCCAGAGCATAGTTGAAAGGTCTAAACCCGCTCGTCGGCTCAAAGGATGCTTTCCTCATCGCATGGTTCGAAGAGCATCGCAGCCTGCTCGGCAGAATCCCAAAAAGTTGTGAAACGCTCGCGCCTCTGTGAAACGTGGGGGGAGGGAGGGGCGGGTAGGGGGTAGCACCAGGACCCAAACAGTTTAGGAGCTGAAGCAGTTTGGGGCAATTTCCGTGTGGGGGGGTGGCAGGTGTGGATGGCCCTCTTTGATGCCTGATTACGATCCTTGAAGAAAGGTGGGGCGGGGGGGAGGGGTGGGGGGGTAGGGGGGGGGGGGGGGGGGGGGGGGGGGGGGGGGGGGGGGGGGGGGGGGGGGGGGGGTTTTTTTCCAAAAAAGCCCCTATGCCCTGTGCGAAACCGCCTATGGTCCGTGAGTTTACGCGGTGTGGGTGGCCTGGCCCTCCACGGAAAAGCTGCCGGGGTACCCCCCCCCTGGGGGGGTAAGGAGGGAAAAAGCAACACGCCGCCACCTAAACCCTAAAGTAAACCCTAAACCCTAAACCCTAAACCCTAAAACTTCAACCCTAAGCCCTAAACCCTAAGCCCTAAACCCTAAACCCTAAACCCTAAACCCTAAACCCTAAACCCTAAACCCTAAACCCTAAACCCTAAACCCTAAACCCTAAACCCTAAACCCTAACCATAAACCCTAAACCCTAAACCCTAAACCCTAAACCCTAAACCCTAAACCCTAAACCCTAAACCCTAAACCCTAAACCCTAAACCCTAAACCCTAACCCGAACCATCCCGAAACCCCAGAAGCCCCAGCTCTTGCAACCCTGTGGCCTTTGCCATGTGAAGGGCCCCTTTTGAAGACCGGCCCCTAGGAGTTCAAGAGGGGCAAAGCCGTCTTCAAGATTCACTTCCCAAATGCGCCGGAGAGAGGCTATGTCCCGGCGAGCATCAAGAAGTGGTCGAAAATCCCGTCTGAGAATGAGGTGCTCATTCCGCCGCACTACATTTTCCGCGTGACCACCGTGGAGAACTACAGGGATAACAGGGAGAACCCCAACAAGTGGGTAATCCACCTGGACCCAGTCAGCGTGCCTTCCGTCTGGGCCCTCATCGACGAGAAGCGCTGGGACCTTTTCCGAGAGCCTTGGAGTACTAAGATGAAGGTATATGAACCCCAAAGCCTACACCCTACATAAACCATATGAGCCCCAAAACCCTGAACCCTAAACCCTAAACCCTAAACCCTAAACCCTAAACCCGTTGTTCCCTTTAAGGACTGGGCGGAGGCCCATCCCGGGCTCCTGGACTCGCGGGGCGCCTCCCGGTCCATCCTCTCCGCGGTGGCGCGGAGTTCCTTTGCAATGAACAATCTTTTGTTTGGGGTTTAGGGTTTAGGGTTTAGGGTTTAGGGTTTAGGGTGTAGGGTTTAGGGTTTAGGGTTTAGGGTTTAGGGCTAGCCCTTAATTTGGACCATCAACCCTTTCAGGGTTCATTTTGGATTCCCCCAGGTTTGGCCAGGGATGCAGCGCCGCCCCCGGAGAGCCCCGTGGGCCTCTGCTTGAGTGGGGGGGCTCAGGCCAACGAGTTGGATCCTTGGGGACAAAATGAACCGGGTTTAGTGTTTAGGGTTTAAGGTTTAGGGTGTAGGGTGTTTAGGGTGTTTAGGGTGTTTAGGGTTTAGGGTTAGGGTCATATAAATCAAATAACCTGACTACTATAATTCCTTTTGAGGTAACATGAACCCTAAACCCTTCTAGGGTTCATATTTAGTCCCATAAGGACGAGGCGAACCGCACGCCGCTGGTTGCCTTGGCCTTGGCTTCTCCAGGCTGCGCCTCACCTGGCGCGCAGATGGCCATGGTCGAACTCCTCAAGGCTTGATCACAGTGGGTAACATTTTGCAGTTTTAAGGGTACTTAAAGTCAATAAGGAGTAGAAACTAAAGTTGTTTAATTACATTTTACATGTTTAAGGGTACTTAAACTCAATAAGGAATCGAAATTTGAACATTTAGTACCATGAGCTAGAAGGCAGGGGGCAACGCCTTTTGGCCCGTCGGGCCGGAGGAGGCGTCCTTTGCTGACCACATGGGCTCCAGCATGCCCAGTGACTACGATCCGGGTTCCAGCGCACCTTGGGGACGAAATGAACCCCAAACATTGGGGTCCTTTACCCTATACTACTATAATTCCTACTAAGGTATATGAGCCCCAAAACCCTTTCAGGGTTCATTTCAGTCCTATACTAAGGTATATGAGCCCTAAACCCTTTTGGGATTCGTTTAGTCCCCAAGGAATTCATGCACTGGCAATATTGGGTGGATGACGGCGTGGATAAGAAAGCCCCGGGCTCCTTGGGGACTGAAATGAACCCTGAAAGGGTTTAGGGTTCATATACCTTCATAGGAATTATTGTAGTATAGGGTAAAGGACCCCCCCAATTTTAGGGTTCACTTCGTCCCCAAGGCTGGTACAAGTTCAGCAACTCAGCCTCGGAGTTCGTGGAGGCCGCGCACAAGAGGTGGCAGGAGACGGGTCAAACGGACATCTTCCTCGTCCAGAGCGACAGATGGACCTACAAGATCTCCGTCACGGAGCTGAATCTTGGGGTCATATTCCCTATACCCCTATAATCCCCCCTATTAGAACCATAGAACCCCTTTAAGGTTCATTCTATACCCTATACTACTCTACTCCCCCTAGTAAGGTATATGATATGAGCCATAAGCCCTTTTTAGTGTTCCTTTGGCCCTTAAGGAAGCAGTGGAACTTGGAGACCGGCAACGAACGCCGGCTGCGGCGGATGCCAGGCCCCTGCCCGAAGTCCCGGATGGAGCTCCTGGAAGAAGCCGAGGAGGAGCTCAAGAGCCTTGGGGTAGCGAATGATGAACCCCTAGAAGGGCTTAGGGCTTACATGACCTTAAGAATGGGACTACTTGTGAACCCTTAGAGGGTTTAGGGTTGAGATGACCTTAACAAGAAGTATAAGAACTGACGATTTATAAACCCTAAAAGGGCTTAGGGTTCACAGTACCTGAATAGGAATTCGAGTTGTCCTTGGGGACGAAATGAACCCTAAAAGAGTTCATGGTTTATATGACCTTAATAGGAATTATAGTAGTCAGGGTATATGACCCTAAACCCTAAACCCTAAACCCTAAACCCTTTCGTAGTATGTGACCCCAATTGTAGGGTTCATCTCGTCCCCAAGGAAGGAGTTCGCGGAGCTCCTGGAAGCCTTGCAGGAGGCAGCCTTTGAGGGGACCCAGGAGAGGGTGTCCTAACCCTAAACCCTAAACCCGAAACCCGAAACCCGAAACCCCTAAACCCTAAACCCTAAACCCTAAACCCAAAACCCTAAACCCTAAACCCTAACCCCTAAACCCTAAACCCTAAACCCTAAACCCTAAACCCTAAACCCTAAACCCTAAACCCTAAACCCTAAACCCTAAACCCTAAACCCTAAACCCTAAACCCTAAACCCCAACCCTGCAGGAGATGGTGTCCAACCTGGCCACGCCCGCTCTGCAGGCGGAGCTCCTCTCCGTGCTGGGCTCCATGCGGTCGCAGGACGAGGAGGCTGCCGTGCTTGGCCAACACTTTGAAGAAGCTTATAGCTGAACTTGGTTTAGGGTTTAGGGTTTATAGGGTTTATAGGGTTTATAGGGTTTATAGGGTTTATAGGGCTTATAGGGTTTATAGGGTTTATAGGGTTTATAGGGTTTATAGGGTTTATAGGGTTTATAGGGCTTATAGGGTTTATAGGGTTTATAGGCTTTATAGGCTTTATAGGCTTTATAGGGTTTATAGGGTTTATAGGGTTTAGGGTTGAGGGCTGTTTAGGCTTTAGGGTTAAAATGGGAACCTTAGTAGCTGAATGAGTACACTTTATCACTTGTTTGGGATACTAGAACCCCCTTCTTTGAACTGAAAGTGTACACTTTTTTGGGGGGCTTATCGGAACTCAGCAACTGAGGAAGTGAAGGCTCAAGTGGCCGAGGATGGCGGGGAAGGGGCCCTGACCACCCTGCAGAATCTGGAGACCATCAACGGCATGAGCTGGGACAAGCGGGAGGAACTGGAGGACGTTGTGGGCAACCTTGCAAACGATCCCAACCTCCAGGGCCACGTGGACAGCTCCCTTGTCAATGACACGAGCATGACGGCGACCAAGATCGGCGTCCACAAACGGAATGGAATTTCGAACGCTGGCTTTGTTGCCTCGCTCACCTGGCGCAGCAAAGGCAAGTAAGGGCCGGGAGATTCATCAAGTCGGTTAAGTTCGTGCATTCACGGTTGGGATGTGGAGGAGGTGGCAGTGTGATTCCGCAGATGCCTTGTTTAGAAGCCTTCGGCAATTGAAATAATTAAAGAAATGATTAAGCCCTAGAACTTAATCCGTTAGGCGAGTATGGCTTGCAAATCCTTCCCTTTTCCCAGTTATCCCCTCAATCCTACAGACGAATCCCCCAAAAGATGAAAAGCAAAAGAGGCCGTGAAAAAAAACAAAGTTTTGGGGGCCAAATGAACACTAAGATTGGGGTCCTATACCCTACACTACTAACATCCCTAGCAGAGCAACATGAACCCTATAATGCAGTTCGTCCCCCAAGGAAGAAAAAACTTCCCTGGTCCTCTCGCGTGTCAGGTGAGAGGACGGATCTTGACATGCACATGCGATGCCCGGAGTGCGGTCAAGACATCTACTTCACCAAGAAGGGCATTGGGCAAGGATGTGATTGCAAGGGCAGCTCGGCCCTTCCCAGCAATAGGCTTTAACTTTGTTTGGGTTTTTAACAGAAAACGGAATTGAAGCCCTTAGCAACCAAAGTAACTCCATTTTGAAGGAGGTCTGGGAACGACCTAGGCAGGTTGAACCACCTGGAGCTGGACTTGGATGATCTTGGGAAGCCCCACGCCCGGTCTGAGGAGAACATGTACATGCAGGAGCCGACCACGAAAGACTACGAGCTCCGAATCAAGCTCTTCCAGGGGGAGCCGGTGGATTTCAAGGTCATGGTGCACAGGAAAGGGCATCCGGACAGAGAGTATTTCGTACGAGGCCACGCGCGTGAGATGCAAGAGATCCCCATCTTCCGTGCGTTCACGGATGAGGAAGGGACGCTGCAGCTAGAGTCCTCGCATCAGTACTTCGTGCGCAGCCAGCGGCTTAAGGCCTCCTGACAACCTCCACAAGCGCGTCTCATGTGCGTAGGGTTTAGGGTTTAGGGTTAGGGTTTAGGATTTAGGGTTTAGGGTTTAGGGTTTAGGGTTTCGGGTTTCGGGTTTCCAACTCCCACGCGCGTGACTAGGGTTATGCATCGGAGCTGAAATGCCCACCCCCGGTAGCAGCCAGCAAAGCTGCTGTTCCGGCACCGTGCAACAAGGTGGAGGACACCAAATGGGCACGCTTCTGGAAAGTAGTAAGTGTGAAGCCGTGGCTCGTGCAAGGCAGCAGCATGGTACTCTTTGTGTGCTTTCATGCTGGCACTTAGGTCCGCAATCCGCGCCCAGCAGACTTCGTAGACTCACATTGTGGAGGCAGGCGCTGGCGGGCGGGAGTGTCAACTGCTTGTTCACTGGAGGTGAGCTGGTACTGATTCGGGGTTGGCTACAGCCGCACTCTACTGTAATCTGTCGATCTACACTTTCCACACCTTGTCCGGCAAGCCTTCCCAAATCAGCGCTAGCCCTAAACCCTAAACCCTAAACCCTAAACCCTAAACCCTAAACCCTAAACCCGAAAGCGGCCCGGCTCCAAGCGCTCAACCATGATCGTCGTATTCTTTTTGTGGTTCTGTTCGCATGCTTCTCTTAAGGGTTTCAGGGTTTAGGGGTTTAGGTTTTAGGGTTTAGGGTTTAGGGTTTAGGGTTTAGGGCAAAAAGGGTTTAGGGCTTTGCAAAAGAGATAAATGGCACCCACGAAGAGACATATAACCCCTTCCAAGTCTTCTGACAAAGGGCTTGCCCGGATTTGAAAAGTTCAGGGCATCCTGAGAAAGTTGAATGGAAGCTGTCGGAGACAGGCTTTCAAATAGAGTCCGGCGCCAAAACTTCATAGCCCTCGCCCCTTCAACACAGAAGCCAACTCCAGCCATGAGATCTGGGTGCACATGCTAGACCCTCTAGCCACATGGTCACTTCTCTAATTTCTGGTCCCTTTTGGGGTTGCTACCCTAAACCCTAAACCCTAAACCCTAAACCCTAAACCCTAAACCCTAAACCCTAAACCCTTTTTAGGGTACCCAACAAGGGACCATAGTTAAGAGAACCCTCACCCTCTCGATGTTCTCTCAAGGGTTGGGAGCCTACCGTAAACCATCCTGAACCTGGCATCCTGGCCACTCACGCCTCGGCTCTCAACCCAGGGCCCTAACACGAACCTTAGGGTTTAGGGTTTAGGGTTTAGGGTTTAGGGTTTAGGGTTTAGGGTTGTTTTGGCCTGGATCCCAGAAGGTCTAGGGAGGCTTAGAGCTTCGGGTTCGAGAGGGTTTTGCATCTGATCTGGCGTCGTGCAGAGTTGGCCACAGAATCCACAGCCGCCTGTGGACTCAAGTTGTAGTGGGCCTTGCACACTTTTACGCGCCTGCAAACCATGGCCGACTACTTCCCAGAGTACTCGGCTTGGCTAAGCCAGTTCGAGCTGTTGAAAGAGTGCTGCGACATTCCTGGGACGGTTACATTTTGTCAGGAACATCCCGGGACTGTCAACAATCGCAAGCACAACTTGCAGGGCAACTGCTTCTTGCATCAGATCGCGTTTTGGGGCGTCTCACAGGACATGGCGCCAACCAGCTGCGAACCATCCCCCAACCATCCCTAAAGCCACCCCGCAAACCCCCAAAGACCCAAAACGCCCCCGACAGACCCCAAACCATACCCACACACCCACCCAACCCCCTCCCCCAAAGAACCCTAAACCCAAAACCCAAAAACCCAAAACCCAAAACCCAAAAACCCAAAAACCCAAAACCCAAAAACCCAAAACCCAAAAACCCAAAACCCAAAAACCCAAAACCCAAAAACCCAAAACCCAAAACCCAAAAACCCTGTCTTGGAAAGCCGTTGCTAGGGAGGCCGGCCTTCCGCCGCCCCCCCCCCCGCCAAACATTCCCCCAAACCCATCCCACACTGAAACCCTTGAACCCTGTACCCTAAACCCTAAACTCTACAGCCTTGAACCCTAAGCCCCAAAAGCCCATACTGAAACCTTGAACCCTATACCCTAAACCCTAAACTCTACAGCCTTGAACCCGAAACCCCAAAAGGACATTGTGGAGCAGTTCATGCACCTGGGCAGCGACCCCACCTTGCGCAACTACAACAACGACACGCCGATGGACATGGCCACGCGAGAGGGGCACGCCAACACCGCACAGGCGAGTAATCCAGAGTTTAGGGTTTACAGGGCTTTGGTTTTGGGTGTAGGGTTTAGGGTTTAGGGTTTAGGGTTTAGGGTTTAGGGCAGCGGGAACTCTGATGCTGCTTGTGTGGGCCTGAATTTCCCGGCAGCTTCGCAGTCCTAGTTGCAAAAAAAGGGTTTTGACACGACTTGGTAGCCGGTTCTGCTTCGTTGACCTTAGGGGGGCGGGGATCCATGGTGGGGGGGGGGGGGGGGGGGGCCGCGAACCGTGAACTGCCATAATATATTTCATTTGCATGCTGTATATGTATATATTCATGTTGACATTTATTTTATACTTGTTTCTTTACGTTTATGGACTTGCTTGTTGCTTACTCAATGACCTATTAAGTTGTTTCAAAACGGTTTTGCGGACATGCCCACGCTGCACAGGCTTTTCGCGAGGTCTTTGGGGAGCCTCAGGCATGTGACTTGGTAGCTGAATGAGTACACTTTACACTTCAGGGTTTAGGGTTTAGGGTTTAGGGTTTAGGGTTTGGGATATTGTGATCCCCTGTAGAGCTGAAAGGGCACACCTTTCGGGGGCTTATGAACTCAGCAGCTAAGGTGACCAGCAGAAGGCAGACTTCCTGACCGCCGCGGCTTGGCCCAATCTTGGGGATCCTTTGGGGGGTGTAAGGTAAGAAGGGTTTATATAGGGTTAAAAGTGTTTCGGGTTTAGGAAGAAGGGTTTAGGGTTTAGGGTTTACGATTTTAGGGTTTGGGGTTGTTTTGTGCACATGTTGGTGTTCATGGCAGCGTTTGGGGTTTGTGTTCGTGTTTGGGGGCATTTCATGGGGCCCTAGCGTTCCTAGAATGGCAGTTTGTGGTTGTAGGGTTTAGGGCTTAGGGTTTAGGGTTTAGGGTTTAGGGTATTTGGTTTAGGGTTTAGGGTTCAGGGTTTAGGGTTTAGGGTTTAGGGTTTAGGGTTTCGCGCAAGGCGAAGACTGGCGACTTTGTGAAGTGCTTCGACCTGCTGAGGGCCCACCCCTGGCTGCGCAACGTGCAGAGCTACAAAGGGTGGTCGGTGCCTTGGGTGCCCTATAAAAGGGTTTAGGGTTTGGGGTTTTTAGGGTTTAGGGTTCAGGGTTTAGGGTTTAGGGTTTAGGGTTTAGGGTTTAGGGTTTAGGGCTCATACACCTTAAACAGGGTTTGGGGTTTAGGGTTTAGGGTTCATAAATAGGGACCAGAGTAGTATAGGGCACATGACCCCAACTTTTGGGTTCCATTTAGGGTTTAGGGTTTAGGGTTTAGGGTTTAGGGTTTAGGGTTTAGGGTTTAGGGTTTAGTGGGGTGCGCGCGTGCGAGTGGCACTTGACTTCTTGGATGCAGAGAGTTCGTCCCAGGCAGGCAGTGCAGCAGTCCTAGCCGTAAACAGGGTTTAGGGTTTAGGGTTTAGGGTTTAGGGTTTAGGGTTTAGGGTTGTCAATTTAGTCCCCCAGGTACTCCACCAAGCTGCCTACCACGGCGTCTCCAGTCGTTTGCTCACCCGGCTTTTGGACCTCGGAGTCAGTGAGGACCTGAAGACCCCTAAACCCGATTCCCGAAACCCTAAACCCTAAACCCTAAACCCTAAACCCTAAACCCTAAACCCTAAACCCTAAACCCTAAACCCTAAACCCAGTCAGTGAGGACCTGAAGACCGTGGAGGGTGCGACTTTTCTGGACATCCTCCAAGAGCATCATCCCAACCACGGCTTCTTGGCCAACTCGGAGAGCCCCAGCGCTTCGCGCCTGGGAGTAGGATCCCCCGTGATGCTCAAGGGTGGCGGCCGGGGCGTGCTGAGCCTTGGGGAGAAGAGCGAAGTTTTTTCTGAGTTTTTTACAGGGAGTAGCGACCCTTACCAGAAAAGGACAGCACACATATGAAGCAAATGAACGCAGAATAACATGTAAGTTCTATAAGTTCTAGAAGTTCTATAAGTTCTTATTTGGGGTTTAGGAACAGCCCCCAGGAGCTCAGTTTCGGACCACTTCGTGCAGGTGCAGTTGCAGAGTGGCGAGGTGGTGGACTGCCTCCTAGCAGTAGAGCAGGTAACCTTTTTGAACCTTTTTGGGGTAATTTAGGGTTTAGGGTTTGGGGTTTAGGGTTTAGGGTTTAGGGTTTAGGGTAAACCCTAAACCCTAAACCCTAAACCCCTTATATTCCTAGAGGTTAATCTTTAGTTCCCCCAGGTTACTGGACAACTAAGGCCTGCGATGGCAAGTCTGTAGGGTGCCGGCGTCCATGCAGGACGACGCAGACGACTTGATCGGCATGCACTGCTTGTCGTGTTGGTCCGGCATCTTACATCTTACTTTACTTTAGCCAATGCCTGAACTTTAAACTGTTTGGTGTCCTTACGTTGTAGGAATACTGAGATTAGCCTTTTTTGTTCTCCCTTTGTTATGGGTGTAGAATGCTGAAGTTATGCCTGTTTTCCCCCTTGGTTGTTGGAGAAGTAAGGCATTCCGCCGACATGGACCGTAGGTGCCGACTGCCAGGGTGAACCCCACGGCCTATGCGCCGAGTGTCGGAACGCATGGATGTGGTCTCAGTACAACGCATGCAACGTCCCTCTTCGTTGCACAGAATGTGACAGCATTTGCTCCACAGATCTTTGGCCTGCACTAGGCTTTCAGAAACCTTCAGGGCGTTTGTTTCGCCCGGGCTACATAAGTAGATGTGTTGAACAAGCTTGCCGCGTTGCTGCTGCTTTTGGCAGCCCTGAACGTAGGTGACAGGGACCCCAAGTTTTACCTTGCAGTCCTCATGTGTGTAGGAGGGAAGGCCCTGCCCTCGAAACTTGCAGATCCATGCCCACATGCCCCAAACCGCCTGGCAAGTCGTCTACACCCCAAAGGCCTGGAACCCTAAACCCTCGAGAGTTCTCCCGCTCGCATCTTGTCCTTCTCAGGAGCTCCACGCCCTAAACCCTTTAGCCCAAGACCGTGAATCCGAAACCCTCACTAGCAGCCCATAGAGGAATGAGTAAGCCCCCAAACCTCACAACCATACCGAAAGCTGCACAAACGGAACTACGAAGGGAGTGACGCGAACCGACACACACACACACACACCCACACACCCGCGCACACACACATACACACACACACACACACACACACACACACACACACACACACACACACACACACACACGCACACGCACACGCACACGCACACACACACACACACACACACACGCACACGCACACGCACACGCACACGCACACGCACACGCACACGCACACGCACACGCACACGCACACGCACACGCACACACACACTCACACACACACACACACACACACACACGCACACGCACACACACACACACACACACACACACACACACACACACACACACACACACACACACACACACACACACACACACACACACACACACACACACACACACACACACACACACACACACGCGAGCATGAGCCTCAATACGCAGCATACGTTAACAAAACAAAAAACACAAAACCTAACAATAAGCAGGAAAACCAGAGAAACACATGTGAAAAAAGAGACGGGAAAACATACCGGTCCACAATGCTAGAAGTTTAGCTGTTGATAATATATGATTCTTTTCTATGCTTGTTTCCGTCATCTTGTTTTTGATGTCAGTATTACCTTAGCCGAACCCCACGAATCCCCCTTAACCCCAACCCCAAACCCTCAGCCCTCAACCCTCAACCCTAAACCCTAAACCCTCAACTCCCCAACCCTCAACCCTCAACCCTAAACCCTACCCTACCCCCCCCCCCCCCCCTCCCCCGGGGCCCAGGACCATCTCCGCACTTTGATTACAAGAGGCACCCTCAGGAGCTGGGAGGAGCAGAAGGACATGTTCCACACCTCCATGAGCTCTTGGGCCTTTGTGAGGGGTTTAGGGTTTAGGGCTAGGGTTTAGGGTTTGGGGCTTGGGGTTTGGGGTTTGGGGTTTGGGGCTTAGGGTTTGGGGTACACCACGATGAGCTTTTGGGCCTTCTGGGGTTTAGGGTTTTAGGGTTTAGGTTTTTCTGGGCTTCTTTTCGGATTGAGGAATGAACCCTAAAGGAGTTTTAAGATGCACCAGTTGTCAAAATATCTGGGAGGGAGTCAGGGTTAGGTTTTGGGTTCTGGCTTGGGGTTTGGAGTTGGCGGCTTGGTATTCGGCGTCAGGATTTGACCCACCCCCCGGTTTAGGGTTTAGGGTTTAGGATATTGAAGCCTAGACAAGAATCGTCCTGTAGAACCTCCGAACCCTACCGTGCGCCTGCAGTAGGTATGACGCATCGGCTCCCCCAAACTACTGAGGTTACGAAGAGTTCCTGCAAGCACTCGACAACCGACTGGCCGAGATGGGGGACATCGAGACAAGAGTCAGCCTCATCCGGCAGCTCGGCCGCGTGTTTTCTCTTCCGAAATCTTTTCTCTCAATAACCCGTTTACCCTACAGAGTTTAGGGTTTAGGATTTAGGGTTTAACCCTAAACCCTAACCCCAGACCCTCCACCCTAAAGGGCTGAGGGCTGTTGATGTAGCCTTTGGGGTTTGGCATTTTCCGAACAGACTTCGAAGGTCTGGCTGAGGGCGCAAACCCGAATCCCATAGACAAAGTACGGGGCTCTCGTGCACCAGGTGAAAGTGAAAGAGGATCAGTTCTGAAACCCTAAACCCTAAACCCTAAAAGGGGTGTAGTCTTGGGCACTGTCCGGTAAAATCAGTGTCATTTTGGAGTGTGTTCAAATGCTGTTTGGCATTGTTCTTCTATTTGTTGGTGCTTTTCAACGGTTGGGAATGTTTGGGAGGGAGATAGGGAGAGAACGAGAGAGAGAAGCAAAAAGATAGACAGAGAGATAGAGAGAAACCAAGAGAATATAATGAAGCGCAACGCACCTCGCGCATCCGCCAGAAGCAATTGGGAGACTGCAGGGCGCCGCCCTTGTCATGACTCTTCTCCGCATTTTGGCGCAGGAAGAGCACCGCGTCATGTCGAGCGCCCTCTCTTCCCTCCCTTTCTACTTAGAGGGTTTACGGTTTAGGGCTTAGGGTTTAGGGTTGTTTGTTGTTTAGGGTTTAGGGTGTAGGGTGTAGGGTTTAGGGTTTTCGTTTAGGGTTTACCCTCCTTTCTACTTAGAGGCTCATGGTAGTCAGAGTCAGCCCATTAAAACGAGGGCTAAGTTATACAGAAACACTTTCCACCCCACTTGGATTCATAACTGTCTTTTGAACCCACCGTATCACTTCCTAAGCTCAACAAGGCTCTAAGCAATAAGCGCCCATTGCCGTCTCAAGACGCTGCCAGGGAACTCATCAACAATCACGAGACGACGCCGGAGCCCATCATGTACTGCGATGTGGCTGCCCCGGAATGATTCACAGGTTCCGAGCGAACCCTAAACCCTAAAAAACCTTTCACCCCAGCACAACCCCTACAACCCCTACAACCCCTAAAACCCCTAAAACCCCTAAAACCCCCAAAACCCCTAAAACCCCTAAAACCCCAAAACCCTCAAAACCCTCAACCCTAAAAGCCCTAAAAACCCTCAAAACCCCCAACGCCCCTAACACCCCACAACTCCTAAATCGCGAAACCCAGCATTCCTCGGGTGTTGCCCTGAATAACCACTTCGTGTTGGTTGGAAGGAGCTCCTTGGGTTTATGTAGGGTTTAGGGTCTAGGGTTTAGGGTTTAGGGTTTAGGGTTTAGGGTTTAGGGTTTAGGGCCTAGAGTTGCTCGAGTCTCTTCTTCGGGCTAGCTGGTGCTGCCTCCGGGCTTGCGCACGTAGCTTCAAGGGAGTCATACCCGGGGACCCCCGAGGACGGTACCCCAAAGAGGTTTCCCTTAGTCTGCTCCTGAAAGGGCCCTCATATTAGGTAGAGAGTGTTCAGGGTTTAGGGTTTAGGGTTTAGGGTTGAGGGTACCGCCTAAGAGGTGTCCAGGGTAGAGTCCCACGATACATGATTTTAGTGTAAGCGACCGCAGAATGAGAAATGACAAGCCTCCAGATGATATCCGTAAAGCAAAAGAAAACCAAACCCTTTCCCAGACATCAACAAGTGATTCGCGACAACTTGAAGAACACACTATAGCGCAGATTTTACTTTTGGAGGGCCGGAGAGGGAGGGAGAGAAAAAGAGAGAGAGCTCGCCTTCGGGCGGCCCCCTTCACCTGCGGCTGAGTGAATGGATAGAGAGCCAGAGAGCGAAGAGAGAAAAGACAACACAAAAAACAAAGAAAGAATGAAGGACAAGAACAAAGACAGAAATACAGAAAGAAATATGTCAAGAAACAATAAAGAACGAAGCACGTACGGCAAGAACTGCAAGAAAGGCAGAGCGAAAGAATGCACGAACGAAAGCAATGCAACAGGAGAGGAAGGAAGGAACAGGATGGAAAGTAAGGAAAGGAAAGGGGAGGAGGGCAGGAGGGAAGGTTGCAAGAAAACCTAAACAAGTCCGAACCACAAACCCAGAAGAAACTAAAAGAAGTTAAAGAGCCTAACTTTTATCCCAAAGGAAACGTTGAGCCCCTAAGCCCATTCGAACACCTCCATTATTTCCGATCTTGCTACAATGACTACATACATATATATATATATACATATATATATATATATTTGTTTATAATGAACTGTAAATTTGTTCTTCACTTGAATGTTTATGGATTTCGTTAACTTTTGTCATCGTTAGATATCCCTAAGCCCTAAACCCTAAACCCTAAACCCTAAACCCTAAACCCTAAACCCTAAACCCTAAACCCTAAACCGATCTTAGGTGGAAGGAGCCCCAGCCTTTCGGGTTTGCCGCCGCTGCGCGAGCGTCATCGAATACGAGAGCCAGTGCAAGCACATGACCTGCAGGCGCGGTTTGAGGATTTAGGGTTTAGGGTTTAGGGTTAGGGTTCTGGGTCTGGAAACTTGGACATATTGCAGGGTGATGTACCCACGCACCTGTACACTGACTCTAGCGCAGCTCGAGGTTGTGTCGAGAAAAGGGCTGCGGTGTCATTCCCCTTCGTCCAATACTTCTCTGGGCCCCTCCTGCACTCAGCTCAGGTGCCTTTAACTCGGATGATGGGGCTCTCGCCTCCCCTTGAGGGGTAGGGTTTAGCATTATTTGGTGGTCCCTTGCGCAAGCAGAAGAGAAAGAGATGTTTCATTGTTTTGAGGCAAGTGCTTTGCTTCATCGTCCAGGTGTGGGTACAGCTTCTGCTGGCTGTGCACCAGGGAGGAAGACGAACACCAGGATGGAGGCATTCGGGGGCATTTATGCTCGGGCTCCAGACCTTGTGTGTTGACAACGGGCCAACCCTATCAGCGCGTGCATTCAGTCTTGAACCCTAAACCAGAAACCCTAAACCCTAAACCCTAAACCCTAAACCCTAAACCCTAAACCCTAAACCCTAAACCCTAAACCCTAAACCCTAAGCCCTAGCTGGCAGATTGGTGCTACACCCGCCCATGCGAGATCGCGCCCAGAGAGAGCGAAGAAGTGATTCGGCACATCCTGCACAACCCAAGGCCGAGGATCTGCCTTTTTTCTGCTGAACTATATCCCCTTGGGAATTATTTCTTATTTTTGTTTTTGTAAGACCCAAGAGGATATGGAAAATATTGTTTTTTTATTAAAGCTTCTAAGGGGAGTCTACTGAACTGTAATTACATGAGAGAGATGAGCACGACAGGACCTCAACTGGTTCTCTTGGTAGACGAATGTGGGGGGGGGGGGGGGAATCGATGGGGGTGGTTTTTGGTACTGTAATGTAGGGTCGGAATTTTTACTACTGGTATTTTTCTTAGGGTCCCTGTATTTTTATACTATAAGATGGCGCTCGAAGTGTTGTGCAGAAGGTGAAGGAGAGCGACAAGTTCCGAGCAGGGCTGAGTTCTGCACGTTAGTGGATGTGGCCCCTAAACCCTAAACCCTAAACCGTGGCCCCCAACTGAAATCCACGTCTTTTGTGGGACGATGTTGGTCGGTCTTTTTCTGTTCCACGCCTGCGAGCAGGCAAGATTTTTTCGAGTTCTGAGCACGACTCGGGTTGTGCAACAGATCCTAAACCCTAAACCCTAAACCCTAAGATCGTGATCTCCGGAAGCGCTCACCGGTGGCAGCCAGCAAAAGCTGCTGCTCCGACCACAGGCGAAACACGCGCGGAAGAAAAGCGACCGCACGCACCTCTCGCCCTGCGCAAACATACTACAGTGTATCACTACAGCCACTACCCACTCCCAACACACCCTAAACCCAACACCCTAAACCCTCAAACATTCTCCCATGGCCCCACAAGCCGAAAGGCGAAGTCTGAAATCAAAGCCCTCCAATTCCTGGGTTTAGGGTGCAGGGTTTCGGGTTTGGGGTTTAGGGTTTCGGGTTTAGGGTACCTTTAGCTGTCACTCTGCAAGGCAGACAAGTGCCTTTCCTTGGCCATCTACAGCAGCTTGATCTCGGTTCCTCGGAAGCTGGGTGCCGCATGCTTTGTTAGGCATGCCAATAAGGCATGGTCTCTCCATTCAAGCTATGACCCTCCATGACATTTTTTGCCTTCGCTTGTGAAGGTACCCTTGCGGATCAACATCCAGCTGCGCAGATTGCTGGTGGTTGGGGGGAGCCTTGGCGGGCTTGCCATTCGTCTGGCCCTACAGAATCTGGTAAAGTTCTTAAGGGAGGGGGGTTCAATGGTACCCAGGGAAGCCTCAGGGAGCTTTAGGGAGGAAGTAGTGGGGAGTATTGGGGAACTTTGGGTTCCTTGAACCCCCCTAAACCCTCAACCCTCAACCCCAAACCCCAAACCCTAAGCCTAAACCCTAAACCCCAAACCCTAAACCCTAAACCCCAAACCCTAAACCCTAAACCCTCCCTTAAAGAGCCCCAAGAAGAATTTCGTCCAGGATCAGATTTTCCGGGAGGCTTGGCTTTTGTTCACATGTTTTAAAAGCGTTCCAGACCAAGGCCACACTGTCTGAAAATAACGACCCCTCCACCCCACCCCCCTCCGCACACAAAACAAACGTATCTCTCGATCTATCTATCTATCTATCTATCTATCTATATTTATACTTTATTTTTTATATTTATATGTATATGTATATTTCTACTTGTATGCATCACAATAAACAGATACATACATACACAAACGTACAACTGAAGAAGACCAAGAACAAGAAAGAAAGACCGAAAGGCCGCTGACCCACAGTTCCCCCAAAAGCTCTTCAGCCCTAAGGGTTTAGGGTTTAGGGTTTAGGGCTTAGGGTTTAGGGTTTAGGGTTTCTGTGCTGGCGTGTGGGGTGTCTTTGACGTTACGGGGAAAATGCTCCCGAAAAGCCACTTTTCTCGAAAAGCCACTTTTCTCGAAAAGCCACTTTTTGCGAAAAGTGACTTTTCTCGCCGCGTTGCGCGCGCCGTGTCCGCGAAAAGCCACTTTTCTCGAAAAGCCACTTTTCTAGAAAAGCCGCTTTTTGCGAAAAGTGACTGTTCTCGCGTCGTGGCGCGCGCCGTGTCCGCGAAAAGCCACTTTTCTCGAAAAGCCACTTTTCTCGAAAAGCCACTTTTCTCGAAAAGCCACTTTTTGCGAAAAGTGACTTTTCTCGCGGTGTTGGAGCGTGCCGCCGTGTCCGCGAAAAGCCACTTTTCTCGAAAAGCCACTTTTCTCGAAAAGCCGCTTTTTGCGAAAAGTGACTTTTCTCGCGGCGTTGGCGCGCGCGGCGTCCGCGAAAAGCCACTTGTCTCAAAAAGCCACTTTGCTCGAAAAGCCACGTTTCTCAAAAAGCCACTTTTCTCGAAAAGCCACTTTTCGCGAAAGTGACTTTTCTCGCGACGTTGGCGCGCGCCACGTCCGTGAAAAGCCACTTTTCTCGAAAAGTGACTTTTCTCGAAAAGCCACTTTTCTCGAAACGTGACTTTTCTCGCGACGTTGCGCGCGCCGTGTCCGCGAAAAGCCACTTTTCTCGAAAAGCTGCTTTTCTCGAAAAGCCACTTTTCGGAAAAGTGACTTTTCTCGCGTCGTTGCGCGCGCCGTGTCCCCGAAAAGCCACTTTTCTCGAAAAGCCACTTTTTGCGAAAAGTGGCTTTTCTTGCCGCGTTGGTGCGCGCCGCGTCCGCGAAAAGCCACTTTTCTCGAAAAGCCAGTTTTTGCGAAAAGTGACTTTTCTCGCCGCGTTGGCGCGCGCAGCGTCCGCGAAAAGCCACTTTTCTCGAAAAGCCACTTTTTTCGAAAAGCCACTTTTTGCGAAAAGTGACTTTTCTCGCGACGTTGCGCGCGCCGTGTAAGCGAAAAGCCACTTTTCTCGAAAAGCCACTTTTCTAGAAAAGCCGCTTTTTGCGAAAAGTGACTTTTCTCGCGGCGTTGCAGCGCACGGTGTCCGCGAAAAGCCACTTTTCTCGAAAAGCCACTTTTCTCGAAAAGCCACTTTTTGCGAAAAGTGGCTTTTCTTGCCGCGTTGGTGCGCGCCGCGTCCGCGAAAAGCCACTTTTCTCGAAAAGCCAGTTTTTGCGAAAAGTGACTTTTCTCGCCGCGTTGGCGCGCGCAGCGTCCGCGAAAAGCCACTTTTCTCGAAAAGCCACTTTTTTCGAAAAGCCACTTTTTGCGAAAAGTGACTTTTCTCGCGACGTTGCGCGCGCCGTGTAAGCGAAAAGCCACTTTTCTCGAAAAGCCACTTTTCTAGAAAAGCCGCTTTTTGCGAAAAGTGACTTTTCTCGCGGCATTGGAGCGCACGGTGTCCGCGAAAAGCCACTTTTCTCGAAAAGCCACTTTTCTCGAAAAGCCACTTTTCTCGAAAAGCAACTTTTTGCGAAAAGTGGCTTTTCTTGCCGCGTTGGTGCGCGCCGCGTCCGCGAAAAGCCACTTTTCTCGAAAAGCCACTTTTCTCGAAAAGCCACTTTTCTCGAAAAGTAACTTTTCTAATCGGTTTTCCCGCTAGCCTGGAAGACGCACCGTGTGACAGCTTAGTAGGGTTTAGAACCTGAAGAGTCTGGAGCTCTGGAGCTCCAAAAGCATTCAAACCTCAGCCAGACGCCCAAAAAGCCTGCAGACCCAAAACTCTGATGAACCCTCTTGAACCCTAAATCTACAGACCCCCAACCTCCCCCAAGTTCGCCAATGAGGATTCTGATCTCCACCAATGCGAGCATCTGCGAGGTCCTCGGGGTCGAATTGCAGGCATGAAGTTGCAAGGTGTTGCTTCTGAAGCTTCTTAGCCCATCAAAGCACCGACCTCCTCACCAAGAGACTCCTCAACTCTTCAGGCATGCGTAGATAAACAAAGCCGGACCCCATCAGCCAACGTCCGACCAGTAGGAACCCAAGGCAACTTGACCTTTCCCCCTGAAACTCCCTTCAATTGTTCGTGAATGCCCTAAACCCTAAACCCTAAACCCTAAACCCTAAACCCTAAACCCTAAACCCTAAACCCTGGGTCCCTTTTATCACACCGGCCTCTGCTTCGAATGTTTGGAGAGAATGCAAGGGCGACAGGCAGGCGTGGCAAGCTACCTTGAACCTTTCTTAGGGCCAGGATGGGCTATAGGGTTTAGGGTTTAGGGTTTAGGGTTTAGGGTTTAGGGTTCAGGCCTCATAGTCCCCATAGTGAACCCTATGACAAGGGCCTTTTCAGGGATTACAGGGTCTAATCGCCCACCCTGGGGTAGAATATACTCCCTACCTACCCCCAAAGGATGGCGAAGGATAGCCGAGAGCCTTCTCCCCTACAAGTAAGGAGATTCTTGCAAACCCTAAACCCTAAACCCTAAGCCCTAAACCCTTTTGGGAAGCTGCACAAGTAAGGAGATTCTTGCGGTTGCGGCCTGCGGGCGTAGGATTTTACGAGCTTCTGCGGGCCGCTCCAGGTGAACCCTGAACCCCTGAACCCTGAACCCTAAACCCCCTAAACCCTTAACCCTGAACCCATACCCCCATTGGTGCGTGCGCGCGTCTTCTCTTCACAGGAGCCGGCAGATCCCGAGAGTTTGGAGGCCGCATCCCTCTGTAGCAGTCTCGGCCCCTCTGCCCTATAATAAGGCTGAATACCTATATGGTTGGGTTCAGTTTAGGGTTTAGGGTTTATAGGGTCAAAAAGACTCAAAGGATTTCAGGGTCAGGGCCGCGGCCTACGTTCTGTAGAACTTCTGTATAACAGTTCTAGCACCAAACCCTGAGCCCCTCAACCCTCCCTTAAGCACCCTCCAGGCCCTACGGAGCATTTCCACTTCAAAAAAAAGCGCCACTTTGTTGCGGAGCATTTCCCCTTCAAAAAAAAAGCGCCACTTTGTTACAGAGCGTTTCCCCTTCACAAAAGAAGCGCCACTTTGTTATGGAGCATTTCTCCTTCAAAAAAACGCCACTTTATTACAGAGCGTTTCCCCTTCACAAAAGGAAGCGCCAAAGCGCCACTTTGTTACAGAGCATTTCCCCTTCAAAAAAAAAAGCGCCACTTTGTTACAGAGCGTTTCCCCTTCACAAGAAGAAGCGCCACGTTGTTACGAAGCGCTTCCTCTTCAACGAAAACAAGAGACACTTTGTTACGGAGCGTTTCCCCTGCAGTCACTCCACCCCACCCTCGCACCAGTTCAATTTCCTGGCGGGAGGGAATGACAATTTCCCGTGGTGGGTTGACCATTTCCCGTGACCATTTGCTGGGTTTAGGGTTTAGGGTTTAGGGTTTAGGGTTTAGGGTTTAGGGTTTAGGGTTTAGGGTTTAGGGTTTAGGGGGGGTGGGGGTCGGGGGGGGGGGGGGGGGGGGGGGGGGGGGGGGGGGGGGGGGTTGAGACCACTTCCGGTGACCATTTCCCGTGACGGTTTCTCGGCGGGGGTGGGGGGTTGACCATTTCCCGGTGACCATTGCCCACGAGTTTGACCAGTGCCCACGAGTTTTGACCATTCCCGGCGAGTTTTGACCATTGCCCGCGAATACTGTAAGCATGAAATACTATCTGAAAAGTGGGTTTAGGGTTTAGGGTTTAGGGTTTAGGTTGCTACTAGTGAACACGAACGGCTCAGCATCTCTAGGCGGTAGTCCGCGAGCCTGCTGCAAAAGGTTGCTACTGGCCGGTGTTAGAAGCTTTTACGCGAGCTCATCTGTTCATCGAGAGCTTAGGGAATCTATCTTCTCCCCGCTCTTGCACCTGACGCCCGAAACGACTAGCCCATGGTCTGTGAAGCTCCGACCCTTGTGTCCGAACCTAAACCTGAGACCCCAAGGCCCACAAAGCCTTAAGCTTATCTATCAACCTAACATAATCTAGCGCAACTTAAGCGAATCTTAGATTTTAATCCTGAGCGAAGCTTGCTTGCCGAGTTTTATACCTGAGGGGGGTTTAGGGTTTAGGGTTTAGGGTTTAGGGTTTAGGGTTTAGGGTTTAGGGTTCAGGGTTTAGGGTTTAGGGTTTAGGGTTTAGGGTTTAGGGTTTAGGGGTTTAAAGGTTTAAAGGGTTTAATTAGGGGTTTGGGGGTTTAAAGGGTTAGGGTTTAGGGGTTTAGGGGTTTAGGGTTTAGGGTTCAGGGATACCTGAGGCCCCCCAAAACGACTGTAAGGTTTTCGAGTTCAGATCCCGGCTTTCCCAATGCACTAGCCTTGTACACGACAAACTTAACGCCGCCAGGCCATCCCAAGTCCTAAAGCCCTCAAACACTAAACAGGGTTTAGGGTTTAGGGTTTTAGGGTTTAGGGTTTAGGGTTTAGGGTTTTAGGGTTTTAGGGTTTTAGGGGTTTAGGGTTTCGGGTTTCGGGTTTAGGGCTAAATCGCAAACCCCCAAAAGCAGGAATCCAAGCTACACCGTCTAGCAGCTGTAATGAGATCAGGCTAGGGTTTAGGGTGTAGGCTTTAGGGCTTGTAGGGCTTCGGGTTACCGGGTCCAGTTTTAACGCTACGCGACCCGCCTCGTCCCGGCCCAGCGCATCCGCGTGAGCATGGTGATTCCGCAGCGCCCAAGTCGCTGGACCCCAAGCAATAAGGGTTGGGTTGAGGGTTGAGGGTTGAGGGTTCCGGGTTTATGGTTTGGGGTTTGGGGTTGAGGGTTAGTTTAGGGCTCAAGGTTCACGCTTTGGGGTTGAGGGTTTTTTTGGGTTTAGGGTTCGGCTTGGAGTGATCGTAGGGTTGAGCCAGGCCCCTTAAGGTTTAAGGCGACTGGTAGGGTGGGGGGGAGGGGGAGGTGGGGTGGGGGGGGGGTGGGAGGGGGGGGTGGGGGGGGGGGGGCGGGGG